CGGTCCATTTATCAGTAAAATACGAAAAAAAAAATAAAAATAAAGCTTTTTTTGTTTGGATGCTTTTTCTTGATAATGATGACGCTCCTGTCTAAGTTTCGTAACATTCGGGGATGGTCTAACAAAGTTTTTTTTTATTTCCAAAAATGTTTCATCCGACTGTATGTAGGTGATAAATGCAAAACAAAAATGTATCATTAAAAACCTGAAAATTAAAAAAATATATATTTTCAAATTTTGACGAAAAAAATATTTCAAAAGAAGGTAGGGCCAATTACATCTGTATTTGTTTGACTCACAGGGTCAAAATATAAAAGTATCTAATCCAACTGAACACTGTATATGCAATTATTTACATTTTTTGAAAAAAAAATGGAAAGGTCAATTTATTATATACTTAAAATAGTTTACCAATTTAACATTTGTATATTTCCATCAAATCCAAATGCTATGTTGCGCTACATGACGCTGTTTAAATCACTTTGATATAAAATTTGAATTCAACAGGTGGTTATCAAATTTTGCTTCGGAAGATGTCGCTAACCAAAGTTAACTTATTTATATTAAAGACAATTCATAGCTTTCTTTCGACACAATTTTAGTTTTGGATTCAAAAGTCCTTCCTATATATTTTAAGGAATAATATTTAAAATTTGCCAAAATCTGTTAAAATTGTGTTTTTAGGCTTTATTCGGGCTTTTATATTTAGAAATAAGACATTATAATTTAAAACTATACACACATTGGGCTGTGATACCGTGAATTGAAGTAAAGAATGAAAGACTTTTTTTAATATGGCCCTGTTGTGAAATAAATTCAGGGAAATTAGTCCTACCTCTTTTGCTCTTTTAACTGTCTTTAATTTGATCATGAAGAAGTTTTTGTCTCAGTTTTGTAAAATTCCATGAAAGATTTATGTAGAAATATTTTATAACCATAGACTAAAACTAAATGTTAACGACGACAACAGTATGTAGGATCGTTATGTTTCGCTTCCGCGACATTCGTTGCAGACTCAACAAAAATGACACGAACTTGCATACAGATGGATTTCTATGACGTTCTTCAATAAAATAAGCATTGATCTTCACTTTTTTCAGCAATTAGTTAAGAAATAAGCTAACAAGTATTCCAGTAATGAGCTTTATAATTAAGATGAACAAAATCATTGTTTTTCCATGCCGAATACTGTTTACTTTTGATGCATAGTGGTTTTCATTGACGGTCCATGTAGGTATACCTTTTTAAAATTTCAATTTTTAACGCCACTTTTAAACACCGGTTTTGGGCTATTTCTTGGCGGCCAGTTTTTATTGGTGGAGGAAGCCGGAGTGCCCGGAGAAAACCACCGACCTTCGATAGGAAAACTGACAATCCTAGTCAATTAAGATTGGAGTCGAGTGCACCCACACGAGCGGGGTTCGAACTCACAACCTCAGTGTTGACTGGCTAGTGATTACAGTAGTAACTACTTAGACCATTCGGGCACCGAGGCCCCTTAATGCCATATTAAAACACCATTTAGAATTAAGAAAGAGAAATACATAGACTTTTTGATCAAAATCCAAGATAAACAGTCAAACAGTGAAAGACAATAGTTTATCATGACTGTATATATATGATCAAAGGAGAGGCAAAAGACAAATACGAAAGAGTTATTCAAACTTACAAGTCGATGAAAAACTAAGAACGTCATGCAAAAACAAAAAAACGAAAAAATACCAAAAGACACACAAAAGTATAAAAACACACAATAGAGAAAACTTAAGACTGAACAACACGAAACCGCGCAAAACGGTCTTAAAATGTTTAAAGATAGAGTTAGATAGATCGTTTTTGACTGTATTTTACCAGCTTCTTTTGTATGGGAAGAATGCAAATGGCAACATAATAAGTTATAAACATTGTGTCGACACCTTTCATCTTGCTAAAAGACAAAGAATAATATGTATAAATTTGCAAAGTTTTCTATAGAATTTACTGCAGCTGCAAAATTTGTTATGGGATCTAAATTTTGAAAAATATGTGAACATTTAAGAACTGGAAAATCTAACCGACCTTTACTTGATATATAACACATAAAACAAATAAGACAGAGTCGTGCAGCTTTTGTTTTGTGATCTTAAAGGAAACTGTAAATTATTTTGCTCTCATTATATTATAGGTGCGTATCTTATAGAGTTTTCTATAATCGTGTCTTAGTAGGAAAAGGAAAGGGTAACGGTATTGAAAGTTTATCAAATAAAAAGAAATCAGCATAAAAATTCGATAATAACCGTTTTGAAATTTCTCAGCTCACTAATTATTTCCATGTGAATTTTAAAGGTCATTGGTAAAAGATAACAACTATACCACACTTTATGCGAGTACCACTCCCCTTTTGAATATAATTGACTATATTTTCTAAATTCTAATGAAAGCTTGATTAAATTTTGGTTTGTTTATCTAATGAATGCGAGTATTAATTATTTTTTTTAACAAAAGAATGGATATGTAAAATATATACAATGTACATATGTATATCAGAAAGAAAGTTCTTCAAATGCAGCAAATTAGTATAAAATACTGATCCTCGAAAAAAAAATCAGGGTGTTATTTAAAGTATAATAAATTATAGAAATAATCTAGAGGGTTTTTAATTAATATATACTTTTTGGATTTCTCTTTGCTATTTCTATTTCATCTGCTACGAAGGGTTACTTCCAAACACAAATGTTTAAGAGAGCTCATTTTCTGGGATTCCCGTTCTATAAATAAATAGCGATTGTTAAACGATCGGAAATTCAAACGATTCGTTTTCGTTTACATAATGAAACGCACGTCAACGTTATTGCAATGCAGTAGTTACAGTTGCGCCAAATAAATCCTAAGGCTTTATATTATACCTAGATTTACAATTTATTAACATTTAAAACCTTTTGAGAATAGAGGTCTACATTTTATACATTGCTATTCAAGATCGCTCCTTCCGAAAATATCGGAATTGCGGAATATTGCTATGCGAACTAAGGCAGCAGTTATGTCAGTTACAGAAACATGGCTTGACGAATCAATCACAAGTGCTGAAATCTTCATCGATGGCTGTTGTGTGGTAAGATCAGATATATACAGAAATGGAGGTGGTGTGTGCAGGTTTGTTCGAAAAGACCTGGCATTTTTACCTATACCCAATCTTCATTCTGACGATGTTGATAATCTAAACTACTAAAGGAAGAGACCGATTTCATTGAGCCGCAACTCCTCTGAAACCATACAAAGTCGGAAATATTTGTGATATGACGTATAAATGTAGTGTTTTGTATTTCCTAAATTTGTCTTTGAAACAATCTTTTTTCCACAGAAAATGCCAATTTTTGAGAAAATATCCAAATTCGGAGACCGTTATCGATCCGTGTCTTATACGCTTTCGTGCATGCTCAGTCGACGTACTGCCCGCGAAATTCAGGTGAAAGTAAGAAGAAAGGATAGAAAATAGGACAGTTAGGCCTATAAGGATCCTGGATTGTATGGTAAGTGCATCATTTTGCTAAATTAAACGACAGACATCCATCCTTTTTACTCAGGTGCAGAACTGTTCAAAAATGAAATGGGCGTTGAACGTGTCGAAGTGATCCTCCCCCCTTTTTATGTGTAAACACAGGCACCCGATGTCCGGACATCTACCCCCTTTTTATGTGTAAACACAGGCACCCTTTACACTCTTTGTTTCAACACTTGCCAAACTGCACCGCGATTTCGCGGGCATCTACTAGTAATTTCTTAAATTTGTTTGAAGTATTAAATAAAATAAATCATGGATTTGGACTGTTTGTTTTAGTTGATATAAACATTTGCTTAATAAATAAAATGACTTTCTTATGTGGAAACTATACCAATATGTTAAATTTGGTTAATCTAAAACAGCTTATAAAAGAGCCAACTAGAACAACATATACTATTAGAACATTAATTGACCATATTGTAATTTGTGAAGAAAATGTTAGTCAGTCAAGAGTCTTAAATATTTATTTGAGTGGTCATTTCCTTATATACTGTACAAGGAAAATTGATAAAAAAAAAAGTTTATTGAGAAACTAAATGCAGCTAATTGGTCAAAATTATATATATGTAAATGTATAAATTTGGCTTGGGGTATATTTAGAGATATGTTTATATCAGTTCTAGATGAGGTAGCATAAATAAGAGAAGTAAAGGTTAAAAAAACACACAGAACCCTGGATTACATCAGATATTTTGGAACTAATAAAAAATCGAGACCATTTATTATGCATGTATAAAAAAAAAACTGGTAGCAAACATTTTTTCTCAGAATTGTGCAAATAAAGAAACAAAACACAAAGAGTTGTCAAAGAAGCAAGATCTACATATTTTGAGAACAAGATTGAACAAAAATAAAAATAGTCCAAAAAGTCTTTGAAAGCAGTTCATCAAAAATTTGGGCTATAGTTCAAAGCAGAAAGAAAAGAGCAATATAGTTTCTAATATAGAAAATGAAAATAACATTGATCCAAATGCAGTGGCGAATCATTTTAACATATTTTTGACTAATGTGGCTGCCTCTCTGGTTTCATAATTACCATCAGCTCCAATGGTTTTTGATGATAGTACACACATTTGTAAGATTTTTTATTGAAAAGTGTATTTAAGTAATACTTACTTCGAAATTAAAACCTATGAGTGAAGAATTTGTTTTTAAAGAGTTAGAACGTTTAAATCCATGTAAGAGTACCGGTTTAGATGGTATTCCTCCGCGGTTCATAAGAGATGGTGCATGTATTTAATACAAAACCTGTAAAATATTTAGTTAATCTGTCTATCGTCAGTGGTATTGTCTCAGATGACATGAAAAAAGCTAGATTATAAAAAGAACAGCAGACTAGAGGTTGGATATTATAGGCTTCTTAGCATTTTCGTTATCGTATTGTAATAACTGGAACAAATAACATTTAATAATTTTTACAACCTGGAATTTACCATGCCAAAAGAAGAAAGAAATCAACTACAGATGGATATAAACTTTATTTGGTGATAACCTGCAACAGAAAATATCATTGACTTTATGAACATTCATTTGAACTGCACATATTGTAACATTTGTATCTTTTAACTTTTTCCATTTTGTTTGGCAAGTGCCCCCTTCCACTTGTTTACCAAACTCGTTTTACTTGATAACATATTTTTTAAAGATCGTAAGGTGTCTGGCATAAATATTCATATACCTGAAATTATATTTCAACCCATTATAAGTCCTGAAAGTGTCTAAGTAAGGAAATATTTAAGATTTTACTATCGGTCAAAACCATGTTTCTCGTTTCTCTGTGAAGAGCCATTTTACTGATCATGTGACCGCAGTAGGAAATATTTTTGTCGTTGTATCGTTATACCATAAATATCAAAAGTAGTTTTTAAGAGTAAGAAATAAGGCATTGTATTAATAATTTTATTAAAGTTTCAATGTTTATACTTGTAAAAGAATAGTTTATAGGAATTATATTGTTGACCAGTTTACCGCTGGAATTTAATATAAGTACTCCCGGCGTCTGCTAGTACTACGCACTGCTAGAACTTGGAAACAAGTCTAGTTACAAATATTTAAGCTTCTAACTATAAAGTTTAATAAAGGAAAAGTTAAAACTAAGTCCCATCCCTTTGATAATTAATGGACAGGCATTTTAATGTCCATTTTGTATATTATTTCTTAATGTGCAGGTTTTCCTGTAAAGCCCCTATTTTGTCGGACATTTTTCTGTCAGTCCTGACAGGGTTCTCATTGGCCCTCAGGGATCCCTGGCTAGATCCCTTATTTTCGATTGGCTTTCAGGGATCTCAAAAGAGTATAAATAGGGCTCTGCTCAGTGAAATGGCGGATAACTTGTTAGCTCAAGCCTAACTAGTAAGCTTAACCATCTTCTTGAAAGTTAGCATTACCAGACCAATTTCAAACAGAAAAGCCAAGCAGGTTAATATACTTTAATTCATTATGATAAGATGAAGTATTTTTAAGGGAAAGTAATGTAGCGGCAGTTATCCCCCACCACACTGAGTGACCTAAATGTCCCGAAAATGATTACTAACTAAGGCGTCTGCACTTGTGTATATATATATAGATGTAAATAAATATAATATACGTTAGAACTTTATTTTACAACCCAACTATGGAGTATAATGAGTGTATTGCCTGGCATCCATTCGTCTTCGGAGGTAGGAAATCCAAGATGCAGATGCAGTATATTCCGGACGAGAGCATAATGGGCCCTAAAAATTTGTCAACAGACCCTTCCACAATTACTCGGCCTGTGGCGGCGGTTTGTTACACTGGTGTCAGAAGTGGGATGTCAATTTTTCCAGACATCCCGTGATCGTACCCATAGCCAATTCGGGATTATTTTAGCTTCGACGTGTGGTGGAATATGTAAATAATAAATTTGTAAATAACGTTTCCAGTTAATTTTTATCGTACTTTGCGTTGTTCCGTTACCGTTGTATTTATAAATTAAAGTTAAGGCGGACGTTTCAACGACCGTATTTTAACCCTGTATGTAATCAGTTTTATAAAACAAACACAAAATAATGTTTGTTATCTTTTTGATAAAGCAGCAGCAGAAATGTCAGACTTTGAATGTGATGATAATGAGACGCCCCAATTATTAAAACCTCGAGAGGAATCTCCCGACCGAGAAATCATGTTCAGACGGAACCTAGGGCCGAGTGGCAGCGGTACCACCGGGGACGACGACGAAGCAGGTCAAGGTGACGTACCGATAAGAGACGAATACCGAGGCGTTGGCAAGAATTTTTACCGTAAAGAATACCCACTTGTACCAAACCAGAGAGATTTCCCAGACAGAAACCCAAATATCCGTGGCAACAATCCAGATTTTGACAACCAGATACCGGTAGGATTTCCAAGAGGAAATATAAGTGGAACTACCATTAAACCAGAGCCCTACAATGGAAAGGACAGTTGGGAAGAATATATTTCACACTTTGAAAACTGTGCAGACCTTGGAAGATGGAAAGAATCTGAAAAAGTTCTTTTGCTTGCTGCTAGCCTACGGGGACCAGCTAGGACATTCTATATAAGCCTTACCAGTACTGAGAAAAAATCCTATTGTTTATTAGTCAGAACCCTTGAGCAAAGATTTGGAAATGCCAGACATCAGAATAGATGGCTTTCAAGATTTGAAACTAGAACCAGACAACCTCAAGAGCCCATTGCAAATTTTGGAGATGACTTACGCCAAATGGCCCAAAAAGCATACAGTAACCTATATACAAGGGCCCAAAAAGTCCTTGCCCTTAACCAATTGTTTAAAAATATTTCCCTGGAGATGAAATATCGTTGTATAGATAAAGATTGTCGTTCAGTTACTGAAGCAGTAGACCTAATAGAGAGATATGAGGCTCTCTTGGGGATCCTAATGATAGAAAAAGGGGAAATATAAGACAAGTTTCAGACACTAAGACTTACCTAAACACCCAAGATACTGACATACCAGTCCAAAGCAAAGAAAATGAATCAATCCTACAGCAACTTATTAACAGAATAGATAGACTAGAACATGGTTCAAACAGTAGCCAGACCCCTCAAAGAGGCCCAAGAACTTGTTTTACCTGCAACTCTCCTGACCACTTTTATAGGAATTGCCCCTTGTACAAGAGACAAGCTGGACCAAATCAAGCCTCCCCACCAAACTCAAACTGGGCGAAAAACAGTCCTAGTTATCAAGGACAAAGAAGTGGAAATAACCAACAGAACCAGGGAAACGGTTACCCGTCAGCTCACCAGACCGGGGCCAGACGGAGATAGAAGGGTCTGACATGGATAGAGAGAGTAATGCTGAATTTAATGACAGAGTAATACAAGTAGGAAAACATTTAGACCAATGGGACAATGGATTGTATACAAATGGTACAATTTCTGGATATAAGCTAGATTTTCTGATAGATACTGGTTCTACAGTATCTCTTATATCAAACCAAGTTCATAAAGATATTTCCCAGTCCAGTCAAGATGTAAATCAGGAATACCTATCAAATGGTATCAAAACCAATAGTTTTAATTTCCCCAATATTGAAAAACCAAAGGATGCCTACAGTCTTCAAAACGTAAATGGGACCAATTTAACTACATATGGAATGGTAAATCTGGAGTTTTCCTTAAGAGATGACATCTTCAATTTATTGTATGTGATATCACACCTGATGCCATTTTAGGACAAGACTTCCTACTTAAACATGTGAAAAAGATTGACTACAGATCTCATATACTCCAAACAGAAAATTCAGATATTAAATGTTGGGTAGGGGGAGAATTTAGAATGACCTGTCGTGTCTTAGCCAGAGATACTGTTGTTGTACCATCAAAATCTAGTATAACCTTACCTGTTAATGTACCTAACAAGGAGCATGTTACTAGCATAGCTATAATAGAACCCTGTAATCTTTTATACGAAGAGAAAAATATCTCTGTAGTTAGTGGTATAATAAATTCTAACGATGATTACCCGTTCGTCCAAGTGGTTAATTACAGTGATTCAGATGTTAAGCTTTATCCTAACACCATGCTTGGTACTTGTGAATCTGTAGTAGCCTTACCTGATTTTAGACAAGACAGATGTGCAGGCGTTAACATAATTCCAAGCAGGCAATTAGAAAATGATGAAAATGGGGTACCAGAGCACCTCCAAGACCTTTTGACAAGAAGTGGCACACATTTGACACCCATAGAAAAGACGACTCTTGCAGAACTCCTGAATAAATTCTAAGATGTATTCTCAAGGTCCCCAGAAGACATTGGAAGAACTGATAAAATTAAACACAGCATTGATACTGGAGATGCTCGTCCTGTTAGAGTACCACCCAGGAGACTACCAATTGGTAAGAGAGAAATAGAAAGGACAGAAGTTTCAAAAATGTTAGAACGTGGTATTATTGAGCCCTCAAACAGACCCTGGAGTGCACCTCTTGTCTTAATAACAAAGCCGGATCTAACTACAAGAGTATGTGTGGACTTCAGATCCCTAAATCACTTATCCAGAGTCGATTCTTACCCGGTAGGACGAGTAGATGACTGTTTGGAGGCTTTATCCAACTCTAAACTGTATAATTTAATGGACTTAAATTCAGGATTTTGGCAAGTGGAGCTTTTGGAATCCGACAGAGAGAAAACAGCTTTTTCCACCAGTCAGGGCCTGTACCAATTCACGGTAATGCCATTTGGGTTGTGTAACAGCCCAAGTACCTTTCAGCGTTTAATGGAAGATGTCCTCAGGGGTCTCCAATGGAAGGAATGTTTAGTTTATATGGACGACATCATAGTACCTGGATCAACATTTGAAGAATGTGTCAAGCGACTTGACCATGTTTTTGAACGCCTTTTAGAGGCCAATCTAAAACTCAAGCTCTCAAAATGTAGTTTTTTCCAAAAGAAAGCAAAATTCCTAGGTCACATTGTATCAGAAGAAGGTATAAGCACTGATCCAGGAAAGGTAGAATCTGTTAAAAACTGGCCAGTTCCCAAAACTGTCAAGCAAGTTCGCAGTTTCCTAGGCCTAGCATCATATTACAGACGATTTGTGGAAGGATTTGCCAAAATAGCCCGCCCATTAAACAAATTACGTGAGAAAGGGGTAAAATTGACCTGGACGGACGAGTGTAATGGCTCGTTTCAGACCCTGAAAGTGGCACTTACAACGTCACCCATTCTTGCTTATCCTGTACCAGGCCAAACTTTTATTTTAGATACTGATGCCAGTCAACAAGCTGTTGGTGCTGTACTTTCACAAGAACATGAAGGAAAGGAGCATGTGATAGCTTACATGAGTAAAGCTTTATCAAGGCCTGAACAATCTTACTGTGTAACTAGAAAAGAACTCCTTGCAGTCATTTCAGCTTTAAAACATTTCCATTCATATCTATACGGTCAAAATGTACTTTTAAGAACAGACAATGCCGCAGTTAGTTGGATGAAAAAATTAAAGAAACCTACAGGACAGACTGCAAGATGGCTCCAGGAGCTAGGTACCTATGATCTGAATGTTATTCACCGCCCTGGCCTGAAACATACCAATGCAGATGCCCTATCCAGAGTGCCTTGTACATCCTGTCTAAACCAACAGACCCAGAATGATGTGCAAAATATTGAAGAAGACAGCAAAGAGACAGCAATCCCACAATGCACCCAACTTAATCAAATCAGAGCTGTAACAAGATCCAGACAGGTTAATTCAAGTGCAGGATTAATGAAAATTAAAGACCTGATGATAGATGGTTGGGACCAAACCACACTGAGAAAATCACAATTAGATGACCATGAGATATCTGAAATTTTAATGAGAATAGAAGACAAAAAGCGCCCAGAGTGGAACGAAATCTCCAATCAATCCGCAGTTATTAAAACCTTATGGAGACAATGGGATCGACTGGAAATACATCAAGGTCTTCTTTACAGGAAATGGATCGAAAATGAGACAGAAGAATTTCTGCAACTAATCGTACCAACATCAAAAAGACAGGAAGTTATCAGATATGTTCATGATATCCCAACAGGAGGTCACTTAGGCATAGATAAAACCTTAGATATAATTCAGAAAACTTTTTATTGGCCCTTTAATGAAACACACCATTGTCGAATACATAAAACGATGTGACAACTGTGCAGCCCAAAAGCAACTACAAGCAAGAAAGGCCCCTATGGGAAAATTCCTCACTGGTGAACCCATGGAGCGAGTTGCCATGGATATACTTGGTCCTCTCCCAATGTCTAAAAACAACAATAGATTTGTACTAGTTCTATCAGATCTATTCACTAAGTGGACAGAAGCATATCCTCTCCCAGACCAAGAAGCAAAAACAGTGGCCCAGGCCCTAACCAATGAATTTATAAGTAGATTTGGAACACCTCTCCAACTATACTCAGACCAAGGTCGGAATTTTGAGTCAAAACTTTTAAAAGAAGTATGCACCCTGTTACAAATAGCGACCAGTATGAGGCCACAAGCAAATGGGTCTGTGGAAAGATTTAATCGCACATTAGTATCCATGGTTAAAATGTATTGCCAAGAACATCAAGACTGTTGGGATGAGTTTATACCCCAGTTGCTGATGGCGTACCGGTCATCAAAACATGCAAGCACAGGTGTAACACCAAATAAAATGATGTTAGGAAGGGAGATAACTCTTCCAGTCCAAGCCTTTATCCCAGAACCAGAAATAGAAAATGAAAACAAAGTTAAAACCCATGAATATGTAGAATTACTCCAAAGTTCCCTTATCAAAGCCCATGACCTTGCAAGAAAACACCTTAAAGGAAGTCAGGAATATCAGAAAAAATATTATGACCAAAGTGCCAAGAAAAGAGAATTAATTGTAGGACAACCTGTATGGCTACACGACCCAACCAGGAAACCTGGCGTTTGTTCAAAGTTATTGCCTAAATGGAAAGGACCCTTCATAGTTTTGAAAAAAATTGATGATCTGATATATATGGTGAAAAAGTCACCACGGCAACCAGCAAAAGTTTACCACATAGACCGGCTAATACCGTACAAGGGCAGAAACCCACCAACCTGGTACAAGGATAAAGTAGAAAAAAATTATGAGAAATGAAACTTGTAGTAATTGGCAGAAGATTTGACACATATGTATATACTGTTTATTGTTAATGTTGTATTATGAAGAGAGACAGGAAGAGTTACTGGTGACGATGCGCACTTGCCAGTAAATGTTTTTATTATAGATACTGTGACGTTTACTCATTGGATACATGTGGATAATCTTTTATTTTTAGAGTGGAATTATGGGATTGGCCATCCTAGGAATTCCGCTAAATATCTTATGTTATATTTAATAATCCTGAAGGGATGAGAGAGATGAAGAAGAGAAGTCCTGTCCAGTCAGCAGAGAGACTGCTGATGATGCATATAATCAGTTTACCAATGCCATATATAAAGATAGCCCTATTGTAATCCTTGTACCAGTGTTGAAATGTGACAAAAGAAATAAAGTTATATCACTTGTTTACCTGAATTAGTTTTGTGTGTATAAAAGGCCTGTCCTGTCCAAGCCTCCTTTTTAGCCAGGTACTCAGTGTGGATATACTGCCAGTATCCTTTACCTTAGCAATACCTTTGTGTACAAATATTTAGATGTATAATATATACCTGTATCATTTACCAGTTCCCAATGAGAAGTAGCTGAAGTGCTATATTATACATATTAAACAGAAAAAAAACAAAAAAAAACAAACAAAACGAAAACCCTGATGTTAAACCATCCTATTACCAGGATTCCAGTTGTTCCAGCCATTTATTTTCCATGATTTATATTTGTAATGAATATAAGAAAAACATTGGTGTACAGTTAAGGGGAGATAATTGAAAAAAAAAAAAAAAAAAAAATTTTAATTGCTACCACATAGAAACCACTAAGTATACCAGCCACAGAAGTTGCTAAGAGAGACCAGTACCAAAATATCAAACCATGATTGCATACCTAAAGAAAAATAACCATACCTAGCCATAAGAGAGACTGTATAAGAAGATATTTATGTATATATCTATAACCAATTGAAAACTTTAACTTCATAAGTTGACACAAGAACCAAGAAATAGATATCTTACTGTTCCATGCTAAAATAAAATACCATGTTAACACCCTAACTTACCATCCAGTTCAAATCTATATCTTTCAGAATGAGACCGCTGAACCTAGACGAATGTTGGATTTGTCAGCAACAATTTCCTGACCTGAAGACCTTAAAAAGACATTTAGCCAGTAAGGGAACACATGGAGGCCGCCTATCTGTTGTTTGTCTGTGGTGCTTCTCATATGAGAAGAGGTTCTCAAGGATCAGTGACCTGAAGTGCCACATGGATGAGAAACACCCAGATATAGGACCAAAGTTAGAGACAAACTTCATGTCAGAGGCAAATGGATACTGGTTCAGTGTATTCCCAGAGGACTACAGGAGATTGGTCACCAAAAGGAAGTTCTACTGCAGTCCAGGCACGGAGCAATGTCACCAGTTGGTTGGGGAAATGCAAATCCATTCGTAGATTGAGACAGAGCTGGGTAGAGGATTGGGCAAGCCATCCAAGAGATTTGGATATGGTGGGAACACCTAGACAGGGAATCAGGGAACCATCTGTGGAGTCAGCAGTAAGTGAGTGGGAGCAAGATGAGCCCACCATAAGCTTGGAAGATGACGCATCCATGGAAGAGTATGACCCACTGTTGCCATCAGTCCTCACACTCCACAGCATTCAGATGAACGCAGATGGACCCCTGATTGCCCTCTTCATGGTAAGATCCACAGAGATGATAAGGTACCGGATAGAGATCGACCCAGTAATAAGAATGGTGGAGAAGTATTACGCTGCATTAAAGAGGAAAGCCAATACCATCAGGCCAACCGACATCTCCACCATGTCCCAAAGCGGATCACCAGTTTATGGAGAGAATTTTTAAATCAAGCAACAGATGTGTGCTGACACACTAAACCTATCTCCTGCCTTGATAACGAGGATCGAAAGACGACCAGACATCTTCTCCTCCACACCAAAATCATCAGTCACCAAAACCAAACCCACCATGGCTCCAAACAACTCTCCACTTCCTATAGTACCAACCAACCAGTCTCTATCTTTAACATCCTCATCATCAGAGCCAACATCATCTGCATCCAAGCCTCCATCATCTGCATCTAAGCCAACCTCTTCTACCACCAAACCATCAGCTTTGATAACCAAACCATCATCTTTGATAACCAAACCATCAGCTTCAATAACCAAACCATCATCTTTGACAACCAAACCATCAGCTTCAACAACCAAACCATCAGCTTTGATAACCAAACCATCATCTTTGACAACCAAACCATCATCTTTGACAACCAAGCCCACATCATCCGCATCCGAGCCATCATATTCATCATCCAGGTCAGAATCTTCAACCAACAAGCCTTCAACAACTAATGTTCATCACAAAGATACACCAAGACTTCCAGTGGTCCCGCCACCTTCAACAGATTTGACAGCCGCAGAGGAAACCCCTACCCAGAAGAAGGCCAGGGAGATCCTAACCCTGGGTTCCATGCCAGCCATACCACCTGCCAGAAGGGATTGGAAATCAACATCCATTAAAATACCAACTGGGACAACATACTTGGAGTGGCCACCCAGGGATTGGGAAACCCTAACACCAGACCGTAAGCTGTTGGCCTGGGAATTTGCAGCTTCCCAGTTGGAGTATCGGATATCGTTGGAATAACGGATTTGTTAGATAAATACAATTTCATGTCCCTTCTTGGCACAAAAGAACAGAAAATAAAAGGCAAAGAAAATCTAGTAAGGAAATGTAGGTATTACAATTATGAAATCCTCAGAACAATCGTCAATAAAGACAAACCTGAATTCCAAGGCATAGTAGACCAGATGTACACCACAAGGGACTTAAGGAACACGTCAACTGACAAAATTATTGATATTTGCAACCGTAGCAAAATTCCGTTACGCCTATTGTAAAAATAACATACTACCTTTACAATAGCAGATAGACATTAAATTATCATGTCACTGGAGAAAACCTTAAATCACAGTGGAAGTCATATATATTTTTTTGTTTCTAAATAATGTGTCAAACACTAACTGTATATCTAAAATTCAGGAGAATTTCCGTTTCTAAGGAGGGGATAGTGTAATAACTGGAACAAATAACATTTAATAATTTTTACAACCTGGAATTTACCATGCCAAAAGAAGAAAGAAATCAACTACAGATGGATATAAACTTTATTTGGTGATAACCTGCAACAGAAAATATTATTGACTTTATGAACATTAATTTGAACTGCACATATTGTAACATTTGTATCTTTTAACTTTTTCCATTTTGTTTGGCAAGTGCCCCCTTCCACTTGTTTACCAAACTCGTTTTACTTGATAACATATTTTTTAAAGATCGTAAGGTGTCTGGCATAAATATTCATATACCTGAAATTATATTTCAACCCATTATAAGTCCTGAAAGTGTCTAAGTAAGGAAATATTTAAGTTTTTACTATCGGTCAAAACCATGTTTCTCGTTTCTCTGTGAAGAGCCATTTTACTGATCATGTGACCGCAGTAGGAAATATTTTTGTCGTTGTATCGTTATACCATAAATATCAAAAGTAGTCTTTAAGAGTAAGAAATAAGGCATTGTATTAATAATTTTATTAAAGCTTCAATGTTTATACCTGTAAAAGAATAGTTTATAGGAATTATATTGTTGACCAGTTTACCGCTGGAATTTAATATAAGTACTCCCGGCGTCTGCTAGTACTACGCACTGCTAGAACTTGGAAACAAGTCTAGTTACAAATATTTAAGCTTCTAACTATAAAGTTTAATAAAGGAAAAGTTAAAACTAAGTCCCATCCCTTTGATAATTAATGGACAGGCATTTTAATGTCCATTTTGTATATTATTTCTTAATGTGCAGGTTTTCCTGTAAAGCCCCTATTTTGTCGGAAATTTTCCTGTCAGTCCTGACAGGGTTCTCATTGGCCCTCAGGGATCCCTGGCTAGATCCCTTATTTTCGATTGGCTTTCAGGGATCTCAAAAGAGTATAAATAGGGCTCTGCTCAGTGAAATGGCGGATAACTTGTTAGCTCAAGCCTAACTAGTAAGCTTAACCATCTTCTTGAAAGTTATCATTACCAGACCAATTCCAAACAGAAAAGCCAAGCAGGTTAATATACTTTAATTCATTATGATAAGATGAAGTATTTTTAAGGGAAAGTAATGTAGCGGCAGTTATCCCCCACCACACTGAGTGACCTAAATGTCCCGAAAATGATTACTAACTAAGGCGTCTGCATTTGTGTATATATATATAGATGTAAATAAATAAAATATACGTTAGAACTTTATTTTACAACCCAACTATGGAGTATAATGAGTGTATTGCCTGGCATCCATTCGTCTTCGGAGGTAGGAAATCCAAGATGCAGATGCAGTATATTCCGGACGAGAGCATTATGGGCCCTAAAAATTTGTCAACAGACCCTTCCACAATTACTCGGCCTGTGGCGGCGGTTTGTTACAGTATCTAAAATTCTCGAGAAATCGATTTATTCTCAGTTTGAATATTATTTAGTTAAAAAAGATTTGTTATATAGCTTTCAGTCTAGCTTTAGGTCTACGGTGACATGTTTAATTCATTTACTTGATCATATTAAAAACATTGTCATCTATTGTGCTCTACACTGGTACATGTATGATAACGTTAGATCTATAAAAAGCTTTTGATACAGTTGACCATTCTATAGTTTATGTAACAAACTACAAACAATGAGTGTAAAGTGTAAAATCCATAGAATGGTTAAAATCTTATTTGACAGAGAGAAAGCAGAAAGTAAATGTAAATGGCTTTGAATCTAATTTTCAAACAGTTACATGAGGAGTACCTCAAGGTAGTATTTTGGGTCCACTTTAATTTTTTGTATTATGTAAATGATATGTCTATTAGTATAAGTTCCGATTGTAAATTATTATTATATGCTGATGATAGCACAATTTTATTTTCACGTGAGAACCCGGGGGTAATATCTGAAAAACTTGGAAAGGGACCCCAGTCTTGCAGTCAACTGTTAATTGATAACAAATTATCCCTTCATCTGGGCAAAACTGAAAGTATTTTGTTTGGTTCAAAACGCTAACTTGAAAAGGTTGAAAGTGTTCAAGTCAGCTGCAATAACCATAGTATTCCAGCTCAAGATTGTGTAAAATACTTGGGCCTAAACATAGACAGATATTTGTCTAGGGAAATTATTGTCAGTAATATTTTACAAAAACTGAATGCAAGACTGAAGTTTCTTGATATACATGGTCGATGTCTATCAGAAAACTCTAGAAAAACTATATATAGCAATGCCATTTGGATTATGCATTTTCAGCGTGGTATTCTTGTTTGTGTAAAAAGTTTGAAAACTAGTTAAAAAAAAATATTTCAAAACTTCAAAATAAATCTGTTACATTTATTAAAGATATGGGAAATAGAACTTCTGTAAACTTTAATGTACTAAATAGCATTGGTTTTTTTAATGTAGAAAAATAGAGTCAAATACCTAAGACTCAACCATGTATATAAAATATTCCAAAACAAAACCCCTTACTACATGCAAGGAAATTTAACTAAGATGAAAGATTGATATAATTATTCAACAAGATCTAGTGAATATAATTTTTAATACCACCTATAAAAGGGCAGCAGGCTTTAACATTTAATTATAATGCTATAAAGGATTGGAATGTGTTGCCAAATGAATTAAAGAGCAACAAATATATTGAATCTTACTAATCTGGTGTTAAAGATTTTCTGTCAAAAAAGGAAAGCAACGATTTTAATAGCAAACTTTTATTTTATTGAATAGTCAAAGTCATCGTAAATTATAATTTTAACATAATTAACATAAAACCTGCCAAAGTCATGATTTCTTATATAACTATATTCAATATGTTTAAAAATGTAACATAAAGGAACCCTATTGGAAATAATTATATATATAAGCCGTATGGCTTTCATGGGCAATCCTGATTAGGTATCATCAATTGTTTTATGATTTTAGTATGTAAACTTGTCTGCTATTGTTTTATACTACTTTTGTGATGTTTTATGATGTTATTTGATCAAATAAATCTATCTATCTATCTTTATCGCACCTCTGATAAATTATGACGTTATGATTTGTTTAACGCCGTCACGTGGTGACCCCTATGAATCCTTATCGCACCGCGGGTAAATTATCACGTTGTCATTGGTTTAACGCCGTCACGTGGTGACCCCCTATGGATCCGTAGGGGGTTAGTTAATTTCATAGGGGGTTCATGACGTAACGTCTACTGTTAATGGTGACGTCATCTATTGATGTTGTTGTGTTGCATGGTTATTTTTCTACAAAAAGCAGCTGAAAAAGTCCTGCGTGCGATAAATTCGTTATACGGTTCACTACTGACCCCCTACGGACCATAGAGGGTGAATAAAATTCATAGGAGATTCGGCCTTCGGCCTCACCCCCTATGGATTTTACTAACCCTCTATGGATCCGTAGGGGGTCAGTAGCGAACCATATAACTTATAGTATGTGGTCAGTAGATTTCAAATGGGGTTCATGACGTCATGTTTACTATTAATGGTGACGCAATCTATTGATGTTATTGAATTTCGTTGTTTTTTTTTCTACAAAACGGGACAGGAAAAGTCCCGTGTGCGATAAATTCGTTATACTGTTCACTACTGACCCTCTACGGACCATAGAGGGTTAGTAAAATTCATAGGGGATTCGGCCTTCGGTCTCACCCTTATGAATTTTACTAATCCTCTATGGATCCGTAGTGAGTCAGTAGCAAACCATATAACTTATAATATCTCTGTCGTGATTTTTGCCAAAACGTAGATACCTTTTTCACTGAGACTCGTAATCTTTTGTGCGCTTTATTAAATGCGGTTGGTTATTCTTAATCTCCGGGTGTTAAACTAGTTAAGCTTGTGTGAGGTGCTAATTACACCCGGGTAATTAATAATATAAGATTGCTTTGTAATTTTTTTTTTTTTTTATTATTCCGATTGTTTATCTTCGGTATCCAGGGCTTATTACATCTCAGTAGCAATGTTTGATTCCGTCATATAACACAACATCCGAGCAAACCTGGTTACGTCTTTTAGTAACCTTAAATGGTTAATCTCACATAACTGTATTTACTAATCATTTCAAGTCACCTTAATTCTGTTCTTTCAACCTAATTATTTCCTCACAGAAATACACATAAAAGTTCTCTGTGAATTGTTAATCCTCAGAAAAAAAGTCAAAAAAACAAAAGCTAAATTCTATTGTTCATTTGTGTAGTTGAATCAGACGTGCAATACTTAAAAGTGGCAACAATTTGGTTGTCAAGAAGGAGGCAACATTCGAAATTCAATTCCATTTAGGTTCCATCTTTTTAGATCGTCTTCAAACTAGGCTACCGTCGATAAAAAAAAACACAGAAGGACTATGTTCCAGTTAGAATGTATCTAAAGAACAATCTCAACAAACAAAAACGAAAACATGGAACGACAAGTGGCTAAAGGCGGTAAATACGGAAGTTTAAGATAATTTGAAATAGTATAAATTAAGGCATATTCCAGTTTTGTAAAATAAAATAAACGTTTAGTTATGAAGGTTTTCTGATTTATATGTAGAGTCAATTTTTAGCAAAGGTCAAAATCTAGAACGTCAAATTGAACTTTGACCTTGAGCCTAATTTGAAGGTCATAGGTCAGTGATCTCATATCGAAAGACCCCAATCCATTCACTTGTATGGTTGAGGCGTTTTACTGATTTCAAATATATAAAGGGAGAGAACTCCTACATGTATAAAAGGTCACAAAAACATTGCTCCATGTCGTAAACAATTATTTGGCAAAAGAATCTCATTATTAACTGTTACGGTTTCTTTGGAATAAAGATAACAAGCAAAATCAAAATTAAGAACAAGACCTTGACCTTTGACCTTGACCTCAATTTCCTCCAAATGGACCAAGGACTTAATATCAAAAGACTTTAGGTATCTATGACTTGTGGTGTATGAATTTATTCAACATATCACCTTTTTAAATTTGAAAAGGGAAATAACTCCCATAAGATGTCATAGGAATACTTCGGTATAACATAACCAAAACATCCTTAAGACTATACGAACAATTTGGAAAAAAATGTGTCGACATCTTTTACGGTTTCAGAGAAATATAGATAGCAAGAAAAGGGGTTGTGGGGAGATAACTCCTATAAGAAAAAGTGTTTGGTCACGCAAGGTGAATGGGGAAATCGTAATCACTGTACAATATCATGGGTCAAAAATCCTTTCGATATGTCAAGTAACAAAAAAAATCTCAGACGGCAGAAGATAAAAAAATAATCAGAACAAAATCAAAAGGTCTTTCCACTTTTCGTAATTACTGATGTTTTTCTTCATTTTGTTTAGACAAACAATAATATTATTAACAACGAATTATGTTTATTATTAATGAATATATCAATACAAAGATGTGTTTATATAAAATAACTATCTCTTGCTTTCTGTTCTCTAATTACCAACGTTATTCAGTAAAAAAATCCTGAAATTATAAAAAAAAAATGCAGTCGACGGAAATTTAAGTCAATAGTACGAAAGCCTATAAGGGTCACACAAAAAAATATTTATCTCGTAATTACGCGATAGTTTTCTCGTAATTACGAGATATTTATACGAGATAAATAAATTTTTTTGTGACCCTAATAGGCTTTCGTACAGTAGAGTTAAACTTCGAGTTAATATTTAGAGTTGGACTTCGAGTTTGAATATAAAGGTCAGAGTTCAAATTTGTTTTAAAATAATAATGACAATGTTTGTGCAATGATATTTTTTTTTTAACTTCTTCTTGTATTTGATGCTAGTTTGCCTGAATTGTACGTTTTTTTTCATAAAATTTTATTATACCACTCATCGAGATTAATTTAGGATTAAACACATTTGTTTTTAGAAGTTATTTATTATGTGTGGTCCGATTATCTCAAAAACTTAATAAAAAGTCTGCTTGATGTCAAGTTCTTGATTCAACGAACCAGTTTACATATCAGTAACCTCTTTAAAATATGTTTAGTCGTTACAATTCTCAACCCAAACATTGGGTTTTTTTCTCTTAAACTTTGAACCCAAGAATTTCATTCACATATCTGGCGAATAAATATATATCACAATTAAATCGACATAGTATTTTCATAGGTTGCGAAAGTAGGTTCGGCAACATGGTCAAACGAAGTGTAAACCAAGAAAAACAATTCTAAAAGACCAATCACAGTCAAGTATTTGTAAATATGCAAATTATATAAGATTTAAAATGGTGTGGCTAATATCTCAAAATGCTATCAAATCTTGTTACATATGTGTCCGTCCTATGCTAGGAACCTCATCAGTTGCTAATTAA